GTTGTAGGACTGCGGGCGCCACGGCCGACATCCATTCTCCCACTGCTGCAGTCATAGCGGGTGTGCCGCTCATTGTCAGAGGGAAAAGCTCTGTGGTGTTACCGAAACCGATGTGACGACCCTTCTTCAGAGGTAAGTAGGGCAACTTGGTAGAAGAAACACGTCACTCTCCTCCTCTGCCACCGCCTGTCCTTCTTTTTTCTCCGTCTTTTTCTTCTTTCGTCTTTCTTCTTCCTCCTCCTCTTCTTCTGGTTAGTGGGAGGATCGTAGATGGTGCCGTAGAGCAGAGTCAGGGTATGTTGGCCCTTGACGAGACCAGAGCGTAGCCGGTCGAAGCGCGTTGGGAAAGTGCATGTTCTCTGGACCATGTGCGTGTTCTGGGACTAAGGGCACGCGAGCGTATAACGTTTCATAGAGAGCAAAGCTTGTTCCGAAGCATCTTCGCCATCGCTTGGCACTGTTCTCCTTCTTTTTCTTTTTCTTCTTGTTCTTATTTTTATTTTTTCTTCTTACGGTTTGGAGGTTGGCTGTCACAAACTGGTCCCTGCCTCCCCTTCCTGCTCTTGCGGTTTTGCTGTTTGGCTGTTGCAGACTTTCCCCTCCCCCATCGGGGAGAGAGATAACCGGGTAGTCCTTGCCTGCGGGGCTACAGGGATCCATGTACTTGTCAGAATGAAGAAAACGGGTAATCCATGTGCGCCTCAGTGTGAAGGAAACGGATGACCTATGGGCGTCGCTCCACTACTCACCACAGGCACAAAAGACAAAAGATATGACGGTGTATCTTTCCATGTTCTAGCAGAAGATTCATTCTCATTTGTCACATTTGAGTAGTCGAGCGAGGCCCTATGTACGCCTCAGAATGCAGAAAACGAAATTCTTTGTATTGCCGAAGGAAGTACCTGCACAGTTATAGATTCGCCGACGGACTTCGTCGCCATAGCCGTCGAGGTCATGGTCGTACTAATGAGAACCCTTGTGAAAGAAGGCAAGCGACAACGACCGCCACTGTGTGCAAAAGAAGAAACGCAGGTTCCTGCTTCTGCGCAGAGAAACAGCCTCAGCCTGCCCCTGCTGCTATTTCCTTACCCCGCGCCCCCCTCAGAAAGACAACCCCTCTTCACCACTCTTCCTGCATCGCTACCTTCGTACGCTAGATTCCGCTCCCTTTCATTTTCTCTCCGTTTCAGTCAGACGATGTGTGGGATTGGGGCTGAACTGGTGATCATGTGGCGCGTGGACTCCCTCCCTCTCTCTCTCTAGTCCGGCTGTCTGTGCTATTGTTCGCCGTGGCGACACTGCAAGTTTCTCAAAAAAGGTAGAGCTTGGCTAGTTGCTCTGAAAGTGTAACGGCGCGCGCGCACACAAAAGGATATATGCAGACACACACACACACACACACACACACACACACACACACACACAGAGAGACAGAGAGAGAGAGAGAGAGAGAGAGAGAGAGAGAGAG